AACTGGTAGCTACTCGGGAAGACAGGTTTTAATGTTGTACTTGGACAAGGAAAAGCTTTGCCATGGAAGGGTTGCAGATTTCATGGATACTGTACTTACATGGCTTGTAAAGATACGACTAAAATTTCAAATCAACTAAATGGAGAAAAATCAGTGTTGGATTTACACACTGGAAGCATGTGCCTGCTACTACACTTGTAAATCATATTACTACAGTAATACAAAGGGTAGATTGAGAGGTAGAAACTTTGTTTCTGACCCATGTATATGGTGCTTGATAATTAATCGTGACAGTGGAGAATTAATTCCATTTTACAGTTTAGAAAGTGACAGAAGGTAAGTCGGGAAGTTGGAAGTGCTGAGTGTAAAACACAGGCGTTTCAGTACCTTTCTTTGGTGCTTCTCTTGCTGACTCAGCCCTGAGTGTGTGGCCAGGGCTGCTGTGTGGGCACAGCTGCAGGGTGTGATGATGTGATGTGAGAGCACCTGCCCCAGCACCTCCTGCAAATGGGGGGGGGCAGTTACTGCTCTCCTGTTTCACTCCAAGAAATCCACTCTTTGATTCTGCTGCTGCTCTAGTAAGTGATTAATGACTGTGGTTTGCTCTGGAGTAAGATCATTGAAAGAGAACTCAAATTTCTCTTATACAAAACGAGTGGGTTCTGATGCTGCAAAAAGTAAGGAGTTTGGTATTATTATTATTTGGTATTATTATTATTTGTCTTATTTTACATTTTTGCTGGATCTTTTTTAAATCACGTCTAAATCTTTGTATTTGATCCACTGAGAACTGGTGGCAATGCTAGATGTGAAGTCTCCTTTATAAAGCAGGCTTTTACATACTTCTGACTGCTGTAACTTTGGAAGCTAACATGATATGATTACAGCTACAGGTATCATCTGCATAACTCTGCTTTGTGTGATAATGGACTTTCATGGGTATTTTCAGTATCAAGGGGGTTATAATATAAAGAAAATCTTGCTTAGGTGAAAGATGTATGATAAACTCCTTATCTCTGCAGCATTCACTTTATTTGTCATCACATGGTCTCTTGCTGCTCATCCATCTGTCCCTACACCTGACATTGCAAGTCTTTAAATATATTTTAAAACATTCTTAAAATTTTCTGTCTGCAGTTATCCCTGAATGCTCTAGCTCCTATGTGTATCAAGTCAGAAAGTTTTTAACTGTCAGTGACCACTGAAACTATGAATCAGTCCTCTTTCCCCCCAGAATTGATGCATGATACATGTTGTTAGAAAACAGCTTAAAGTCATGTTATGTGTGGTATGACAGACGGAGGGAATGGCTGGCAGTGGGAACTGCCAATATTTTATTATTGAAAATAGCTGCAAACTATCCTTTCATGTGATTATGATGAGTGTGTTTTATAAGAGAACTGCTCTTATCTCATAGGGAATAATTTCTTAGGAGCTTGAGGTAAAAATGAATAGTGTTGCTAAAAATAAAGAGGTCAAGTCTCACTTCTGTGTAAAGGATCAAAGAAGATGAAGGCAGGAAAAACATTTTACTTCTAGATAATTATTTGAATAATGTATTGAATTTCATTTAACACCAGAATATGCAGTAATCCTTCTTACCTCATTGCAAGACACACAGTCTTTCTGGATTGGTTTTAATGAGTCTGTACTGGCTTATACTGATTTGCCAATCTACGCCTACAATCTGTTATTTCTAGAAGATGAAGATAAATCACTTCCAAATGTCACCTACTTATTTGTCACCTGATTCTGATAGATATTCCTGCATTGGATAATTTATGCTTGCATTAGGTGGTTTTCTTGGCAGAAAGAAAGTAAACCATAAAATTTTAAAATGTGTACTTAAGCTCTGCAAAACTGATCGAAAATATCT